AAAACTGTTAGTCACAAGCAGGGCAGTGGTGGGTGGCACACACTCTTAGTCCCACCACTTGGGAGGCACAGACAGGCAGATCTCTATGAGAGTTCACAGCCAGCCTGGCCTACAAAGCGAGTTCCAGGACAGACCAAATAATAATAATAATAAACAAAAATCTTTACTCGCTTAGCTGTGTGTAATCAGTGTGCCCTCTGTATGTGTACAGAAAAACCATCAAAAAATTGAAAGTAACAAGATAATGAACCAGGACCTGTATTCAGTAATTCTCCTTCATCTGACTTTGTGTTGTGCACCTACTCTCATATCAGCTTATTTTGAGACACTACATCAAGACATAATCCAGACAGCATTAACTCATTGTTATACAAATAAAAGTTGTACTCTCACTCATAATAAGAAAAAACAAACCCAAGCCAAAGTAGTTACGTCACTTTTCACCTCTCAGATTGGCAAATATAAAAGTATCTGACAATATAATGAATTGGCAAAGGAATATACAACCTTAAAACATTATCCATAACATGAAAATGTGCATCTCTAAGAAAAGTACACTTGGCAGTATTCATCAAAATGCAATAAGCCACTGGGGTCAGCATAAACTGTGAAAATGGTGAGGCAAGGGTCTGGTTCTTTTCCTTCTCACATTTGAGATGTTAATATCGTGCTGATTGCACAACTAGAAAAACTAGCTGGTGCTATCAAATGAATGAGCTTGACAACTACAACAAGTATAACAGTAAATGCTGCCTTACTTGACTTCAAAAATATCAGTGATACGAGCCATTTCCTGATACATACCTAAACACAGGCTTTATTATACACCTTTATTATAGTTTGCAACAATGTACTGATTTAGGGTACCTTTCTTCCCCCTTAAACTCCTTGAGGACAGTGTCATGTCTGACTGTTTGCCTGGTCCACAGCAAATATTCACTCTACGTAGGATTCATTCTTCCATTCAACACTACTGTGAGCCTAGTGGGTACTTTATGAGAATATAAAATTATGGACCAAATGAGGCAAATTAGTTTTTTCTTCTCTTTTATTCTAGGTGCAATCAAAAAATGAGATAAGTAACCAAATAGAAACATAAAGATATATATAATAAAATTTTCTTTAGAAAACAAAGCCTTAGCTGGGTGGAGATGGTACACACCTTTAATCCCAACACTTGAGAGGCAGAGGCAGGCGGAGCTCTGTGAGTTCAAGACCAGCCTGGTCTAAAATAGATAGTTCCAGGACAGCCTCCAAAACCACACAGATCCCTGCCTCAAAAAAACCAAAACTAAAAATAAAATAAAAATAAAAACAAAGCCTTTTGGATCTATATTATAAATGATCCATACCCCATAAAAGCTTCAACCACATCCAATTCTCCCTGTCCTCTTCCAGGTCAAAAGTTTACAGTGTAGCAGGCCTTCTCATCTGTCTGCAATGAGCTTTTGCCTTCAGATAGACACCAAATAGAGTAGCTGTCATATACAATCCAATCACCACTACCTACATCCTCTAGCTTACTTCTCTATTCTTAACAAGATTCAATACCTATGAGGACATTTTTCCTTCAATGTCTTCCTCTTACTTTTGGCATTTGTGAAATACTATAGAATTTCTTCTGACTTCTTCCATACAGTAATGATATGAAAACTTCACTGGCTAGATTTTTGGGAATAATCAGCAATAAGGGAGAAAAACTTGAAGAAGTTGGTTCTAAACTATAGAGGCTGTGGCCACACTGTCATCTGAAGTTGAAGACACTGTCTTGCTTTGAGGGGAACAATAAACAGCAAATGACTGTACTAGGTTGGCAAGGCACCTGTCACCATGAGTTAACACTGACCAAGTCAGTAAGAGCAGCCTACTGGTTGCTGAGCATTTCCCTTTGCCACTAATGAAAAGTTTATAAACACTACTGGTAATGAAAGAACCAAAAAAGATAAAATATTTCTCTATGAATATAAATAAATGCAAAATTTAGAAAATAAAAAATAAAAAGTAGGTCATCAAAATGATTTTTGTAAGCTGATGAAGAAAGTACTCTGGCTTTGTATAAATTAAAACAAGATAGAGTTTAACAGCCTCATTCCGTCTCCATTTCCAGCAAAATACCACACAACATTAACTCGCTTTGCATAAGACAAATGGAAACAGGCCTGCAATGCATCACAACCACAGTATATTTAACAAGATGGAGATGAACAATGAAACTTCCAGGGAAACTTACAGTATCGATGCCTTGCCTCAGATGTGCATTTGCATATAAATGTTTTAGAATAATATATTTCATTAGGGTTAGCCAGAGAATATGCATGTTGGGAATGGAGGAGGATTTTGCCTATATTCCAATTTTGCTTAAGGAAAACAGATTCTTCTATCTTCAGCAATAACAGTCTTGAGATAGTAAAATAACAATAATGATGGCACTAATAATGCCACTGTGGTTTTACTTCCCTCTGAAACAGATGTCACTAATATCTCTGGAAAGTTTCAACACATAAGCATCATGCATGCCTCAAGGAGTAACTTGATAATATCCTTTCTAAAGGAAGCAACAATGCTCATCGTTTTTGAATAACTGTGATTAACTTAAGCGAATTAATTCTTAAGGAGTTTTAAGGCACCGTATAACTATCAAAAACTAGCTTCCAGAGGTCAGCTCAGAATTGTCAGTTATTTGGAAAACCAGTCCAAGAATTTCGTTTTTGATCTAATAATATGGTTTACCCCCAAGCGATTATTTCCTCTTTAATGTTTTATTTCATAATAAAGGATTCTGGCCAAAAATATGTAGATTCTGGCTTTTATAACATGGAACTGTGTTATACAGGAAAAAAGAAAGTGGAACATGAATCATTTGTTTGCTTCTTAGTACCCAATGTGCCCTGCCTACCAAAACAAAAAGAAAGAAAAACCTTTAAAATAACAAAAATAGAAGAAAAGAGAGAGGAGAAGAAGAAGAAGAAGAAGAAGAAGAAGAAGAAGAAGAAGAAGAAGAAGAAGAAGAAGAAGAAGAAGAAGAAGAAGAAGAAGAAGAAGAAGAAAACAAACAAACAAACAAAAACTCTGCTGCTGACTCATTCTTCACAGAAAACCATTTAGAATTTCCTGGGGCAAAGAGCTGACTTTCTGCTTCTACTGATGTAATCTCCACTCCTGAATTCTGGAAACAGCTGAGGCAATAGAAGAGAAAGAGGTCAAAATCCTTTGAAAGACACTATGCTTTTAGGGCAACTATAATGAGAGCTGCAGGAAAGTTATTGATCTGTGCCCTTTGCTTTATTTTCAGTATATATTACAGTAATGTTATTTCCCTATGAAAGTTCAGTCTATTCATCTGGGCACTTGCAACATCAGAGCAAATAGCAAAGCAGAATTTTAGAGTATTCATTAGCAAAGAGTCAAAAGGTCTTTACAGAAATCCAGGCACCCAGCAAAGAAAGAAGAAAAGCAAAGTTCAATTCTGAATCTCCGCATGGCGACATGAGTGATGAACCACATGAGCACTGAAGAAGGCATCAATCATAAACACACACACTGCTATACAGATGCATGTGCATGACGTTCTTACTAAGCATTATAACCATTATAACCATTAACCTCATCTAAGGAGCTCCAATACTGTCACATCTGTTTTCCAAAACCCACGTTGGTCAACCATCTGTTTTGAAGCATTTGGTAATGCTAGATAAGTAGTTAGTAATTTGAAGCTTTTTTGTTGTTCCTTTACCAATTATAGTACTTTTGAAAGAATTTCATGAGAGAATTATTTTTGAAGGATTTTTAAGTCAACATCAGTGTTGTTTAGATGTACAAAAAGTCAAAAATATGGATAGAAGACTTAGCATTTCCAAAATATTAAAATACGTCTGAGACAGTTTAGGGCAAGTTAGCATTCTTTCTCCTTATTTCTGCTTAGTGTCTATTTTTAAAAATGTGTGTAAAGTAAAAACAGCAGAATATCCTTAGTAGCATATTAAGAAAAGTAAGAACCTTTATGCATTACCATCTCCCATGTACATTCATTCACATGAAAACATTACTTTTTTCTCATATGACTTTTTTTTTTTTTCCCTTGATACTCTGTCCCCTCCTGCCTCAGACTTCTGAGCACTGAGATTATAAGTACCACCTCCTATCCACTGCCTTCTATGCTCCAAACAAACTGAAATATCCACTGGTGTTTTTCTCTCCCGTGCTACTGTAGCCTTAAGTCCTGGTGTGTGTCGGGGAGGAGGGTAGAGGTGAAGGAAAGAAGAATGAAGAGATCATTTTAACTAACTCCTAATTTCAAATACTGCTATTCCCCAAAATATGACCTGACAAACCTGTTTGCCCAGGGTATAATAGCCACCTCTTGGGATCTGAATATAATTGCCATGTTATCCTATATATATATAAAAAAAAAAAGCTTTCACATTCAGATCCCACTTATTGTTTTGAGGGAATGTAGAAATTTCTGACATTTTTCTATTCACAAACAGCATGACATGATGAAGAAGAAAACACAGACGGGGAAAGACCATAGACTTCGGAATCAAGTGGCCATGTACTCAATTCCAAGACTAGCCAGCCTCCAAACATAAGCTTTCACTAATAGCATCTCTGAGTCTCAGTTCTTGTAATAAGATTCAGACACTCATAACTAGCTTACAGAGTTGCAGTGAAAACTAAATGAAATAATACACACAAATTATCTCAAAAACAGCTTGGTAACTAACACTTGTTCAACAACTGCTCCATTCCTTGCCGTTGGTTTACTAACTTAACATGTGTGATAATAAACACTCTTCATTACAAACAGATTTGTATCTCTCATTCAATGTCTGTAGATATGGACAATAAGCCTAAATTTTCCCAACAAATCAAAGCAAGACAGGCAATGCCTGGCCTGAGTATATACGGAATATAGTATTCAATAAAATAATACCACCTCAAGATAAGTTATGCATTCCCCACCCTAGATACAAGAAAAAAAGAAGCTAACACCACACTACCTTGGCTGGTTGTCCACAGTGAGGCTCTCTCCCCTCTGATAGCCACTGTCTGCCACCTGAGTGGTTGACCTCTTCACAATCTGCTTTAGTTCCTGTTCCAAGCGCTCTTTGATGGCTTTAACTGTCTCAGGGATCTTCTTCAGCCTGGCCAGTCCCTGGATAAGAATTCCCATGAAAAGAGTGCTGTTCTCCTCCGGATCACACTCCAAGTCCTCCTTGATGTCTTGCAGGTTCATCTCCCTCGCTGTGAAAGAAAAGCACACCAGAGACATGAAACCCAGTTTCCACATTAATTCAACAGCACGGCACACTTATAAAGATCACTGCTTTGATTATCCCCTTAAAGGAAGCAAAGGAATTTTCTATTAAATTAAGTTGCATAGTAATATTCAGCAGCCTCTAAAGCAAACTAATTGGTTACTAATAAAATGTACAAGCAATTATATAGGAAGATGAGAATCCCAGTTTTACACATATATTTTGACGCAAGTCCATTGACAAATTAAGTACACACGATCTCTAAAATGCCAGACAATGGTGTGTCCGGAGAACTCTAAAGACTCAAACCCCAGTTTCAACTACTATTAGTTATAAGCAACAAACAGAGAGAATAAAAGATGGTATGAATACAAGGGGGCAAAGTACATAACTACAACAAATAAAAAAATATATGTAAGACAACATAAACATATGAGAAGAGTTAGAGGAAAGATATAATAGTGAAGAAGTAGTGGATAACTACCAAGAAAACCCATTTTCCTTCCAACATATATGTGCTTAGCATGGTAACCCACACCATGCAATCCCAGCTACTGAGGGGCTCAAGCATAGGAACTAAATTTCAAAGTGAGTGTGGGCTAGATAGCAAATTCCAGCCAGGCTAGCAAAAATAATGATACCTTGCTTATAAAAGTGAGTGAGACAGAGAGGCTGCCTTGTGTGTGGGGGTGGGAGTTATTATCTTTCACAGACCTTTGTTATATCAATGAAAACCTTCTGACAAGTTATATTATATGCCAAATATTCCTATAGGTCTTTATACTATAGCCTTTATCCAAACCATCTGTTCTTAAAAGGGGGGAAAGAGCCTCAAACATTAGTCCTTAACCCCTGTCAGTAGGTAGGGAGGATTAGCTGATGATCTGAGATTTTTGTCTCTACTAAAACTATGTGGCAAAAGCCGTATTAGGGCTGGAGAGATGGCTCAACAAACATAAGGACTGGAGTCTGTGTTCTAGCATTTGTGTAACAAGTTAGATATCTCTGAAAATGCCTGTAAGTCCTAGATACCAAAGCCAGACAAAGACAGCACAAGAACTCTACAAACCAGTACCTATTATGAAACATATTTCTCAACTACGTATCTATATACCCATAATGGTTCATTATTCACCACATTCATTATTATAGTGGCAGCATTTAGAAGCAACCCAGGTACTCACCAACACATGAAACAGAATAGTAAAACGTGATCTATATAAACAGTAGCATGTCACTCCAATTTAAAACTAAGGAAGCCTGACACACTGCAACAGGGATGAATCGTGAATACACCACGCTAAGTGAAATGAGACTGTCACAAAGACAAATGCTTAAGATTCGAAATGCAATGAGTTACTTAGGGGGTCAAATTCCTAGAAACAGAGTAGACAGTTGTTTTTCGGGGGCAAGGAGTAGTACTGAGTTTGAGTTTTACAAGATGAAAATAGATATGCAGGTGGATGGGAGAACTGTCTACACACACTGTAAATGGACTTAAAACTACTGATCTATACATTTTAATTGACTAAAATGTAAGCTTAGTGATGTGTATATTTTAACATAAAACATACACTTAAATATGAACCAAAGGTATTTTTAGTAACATGCAAGATACTTCCAAATTACTTATGGGAGATCTTTCCTATTAATAAATCCTCTATATATGTATCCATGATGCCTTAATAGACTCACTAGGCTCCCAGAAAGTCAGACAGGGAGACCATATTCATGTGGCATTCTGCACAATAGAATATGTTTAATGACACAGTACTCAATAAGAATAATGTTTAATACTAATGAAACTAGAAGTAGAACTCAAAAGATTAAAATCTGAAGACAAGTTTTTTAAAGACCATCAATACTTTCAAATGTAATATTATGAAAACTATACATTTCAGTTCCTGGTTTTGTTTTATACATGAAGAAGTAGGATCCCTCAGGCCACAGAAATACTCTATCTAGCAAATCCAACCCCACAGCAAGGCAAGAGAAGTGGCAGCAGGGAGCCACCAGTCCAACATGGAGCAGGGGGGGAATGAAGCTGAACTACAGGAAGAAAAGTAATGGAAATCCTCCTGTTCAAATGCTCTTTGTTAAAGCACACCTATGAGTCACAAACAGGACACATACAAAGAGCCACCTAGTCATCACAGCTCCCTGCCCAGGGTGACTGATGATAAGGTAAATATAATCTAAGGCAAATATGGCCTGCAATGGCAGGGCACAGAGCTACTTATATGCTCACTACTATGAGAGCTGACTCATTAAAAAGCAACACATAAACAAGATTTGAATAATGAAATGCCACAGCCACAAACAGCACATCTGTTTAAAAACTTAACTTTTGTTGTCTCCTAAAATCTCCTAGAGCATAAACACACAGATCCAATATTAATTGATTTGTATTATCTATTTCACTTACATCAGCTAAAAACTAAAAGGCAATGTAAAAGACTAATATAATCAAAATGACGAGTGTGATATTCACAAACATCTACACAGTCAGATAGCATTACCAGAAAAAAAAATGTTCAAAACTAATTCACCTGAAATTCAGTAAGGCTTCACATATCGATCAGAACATACCTGGGCATCTTTCCAAACTCCTGATGTCCACATCATCCCCAAGCACTTGAATTGCTATAGGGGATACCCAGTATATAGATATTAGACATTTTAAAGCTAGAAATATATTAACACCTTTAATCCCAGCACTGGGGAGGCAGAAGCAGGAGGATCTCTGTGAGTCTGAGGCCAGCCTGATATACAGAGCTAGTTCCAGGACAGGCTCCAAAGAAATACAGAGAAAGCCTGGCTTGAAAAACAAAACAAAAGAATGGGGATGACTCTTGCCTTATTTGTCCTACACTCTGGCTGGCTCCAAGTATTTATTATTAGACACACTGCTTTTATTTATACAGATGGTGGACACAGACAAAGGTAGCTGAGGATAAGCTTGGAAGGAGGATCTCACCTGACTGGACTGATGAAAGGATTAAGGAGAAAATAGCTAAGACCATTTCAAGCAATAGACTTCCACATTCATATAAACTATGCCTCCAGTTACATGGCTTAGAGCCACTTATATGCATACCCGTATCACAGACAGCACATTTTTAAAAAATGGAAAGTAAGACCCAGGCATGACAGTACACAAAATGAAGACCACCTAGAAATTCCCATAGAAACTGAACAAAAAAACTAACAAGTAAACAAGGTGATTAACCTATTCATGAAGCTAAAAACTTTTTGTTTAATGACTCTGCAGATGAATGTAGAAAACAATCTAGACCATCAGCCCATGGCTGCATTCTTTCTTCAGTATTTGTTAGGTAAAATCAGCAGTTTGTACCATGGCTTACCACACACTTCAAAAAACTGCAGAAGACAAGGCCTTTAATTCACTGTTGAATACGCCATATCATACCATTTAGCACTACTGTTTATACATGTGAATTAGGGTATGGTAAAATGGCAGTGTTTACTAGGAACTCTTGACAGATGTCATTCATTATACTGTGCATAATATACAAACTGTACAAAGTTAATACACAGTAAATGAGTTCAAGCTACGTAATTTGATTTACATGCTATATTTAACCAATATTAGCTCTTTGTAAGAAAAGAACTGCTTGCCAGTATCGAGCAGAACTGAATATAAAGAGGAGCCTTTATAACAACAATTAATTTTAAAAAGTGGCCATTAGAAAGAGAGAAGTGGATTAGAAAGAGAAAAAAGAGGGTTGGGAGGGGAGGAAGGAAAGGGGAGATGATATAATTACATCATCTCAAAAAATAAAACAAGTAAGAAAATTAAGGAGCCTTTGAAAAAGTTGTCAAGCCTAATTAGACCACTAAAATATCAAACAAATTACCTATCTACAACGCTATAGCACAGATGGGAACCTGGCAATACTGACAATATTCTTGAAAACAGTAAGAAAAATCACTAAAAAATAATTTATGTGCCTCAAAATCACACTATAATTCATATTACTGCTTATTACATAATTACACATAATTCCTGAAACTGAAAGGAAATAGTTTGGTTCAAAACAGAGAGTAACTTTGCTGAAGACAAGAAGCGTGAAGAAAGCACGGAGGCAGGGTGTGGAGCCTGTGATCTCCTGATGGAAAAAGACAGGAAAGTTGGATTGGTCCATCTGTGCTAACTGGCAGGAGAAATCCATTGGCTAGGGGTGCCTCAAGCCTGGGAGCAAACCAAGCTCCTACTTCAGCTAGAAAGCAACTGGCTCTCCTCCAAATCTCATCCTTCATTCTTGTCTCTGTGGAAATTCTTGATGAAATATATATCTTGGATATCATTCCTTTGGCCAGTAGAAAAATGACTTCTTCAGTGTGTGGTTCTAATTAATGCCCCCACTGGTGCAGAGGACAGTAACTGAAGCACTGGTCACCCCTGGAGAACAGAATCTTGATTAGGGTCTTTCAAATGTTAACTAACTACCCCTGGAGTGTAGATTCCTGATTAAGGTACTTCAAAAATGTTAGCTAAGAACCCCTAAGGTGCACATTAGATTACCTTAGAGAAACCTACAGACAATAAAACACCCACTCCAGAAAAGAGGCTGCCAAAAAAGGGAGGTAGACAGAACTAGGGCATCAATTCACAGACGAGGGCCCTACCCTGATGACCTGAAAGCATTATGTGTGCACAGTGTACACACAGGACTAGCAGTGTTGGCCAAGAGGGAAAGATGGCAAATTTGTTTAAAGCAATGGTAGGAAGTATTTTTAAAACAAAACAGAAAAATACCTACTGAATCCTTTTATCATGGGATAGAGCTTGATATTCATTAACTCATTTAGAGCAAGGACCTTTGAAGATCCAGAAATAACAATCACAGAGGGTGCTAAAATAAAACTGGCATACAGGATAAAGGGAGGTGTAAGGACAGATGAATGAAATAACTCACAGTACACAGTTATAATCACTAAAATGTGCTGGATTGCAATCCATTG